AGAGTGAGTATAAATAGCAATTGTTTCTGTTCTGGCCAGAAACCCTAAGGGTCTTCCCCTCCCAGACTGAATTTTTTTAGTAGGCAAACTAGGCTATCTTTTGCCTCATTTCTTCCCTATCCTCATCTGTAAAATAAACTGGAGAAAGAAATGGCAAACCACTCCATTATCTTTGCCAAGAAAATCCCAAATGGGGTCATGGGGAGTTAGACACGATTGAAACAACTCAAGAACAACAGCAAACATACCAATTTCCCTAATGAACACAGATGGAAACATTTTAAATGAACTATTAGCAAAGGGGCAAAAACTACATATCACAGAGATACATACTACTATGACTAGGATGGATTTATACCAGAAATATGGGGTTGGTTTAATATTGGGAAAACCACAAACTTAGTAACAAAATCAACAAAAATCATAATTTTTTATCAGTAGATACAGAAAAAGCTTTTGACAAAATACAGCACCCATTTTTTTTAAAATGCTAGAAAATATAATAATAAATGAACCTTGCTTTAAAATTATTAATATAATATATCTAAAACCAAGAGCTATTATTATTTGTAATGGAGATAAACTAGAAACCTTTCCAACAATTTCAGGACTGAAATAAGAATGTCCATTGTCACCACTTCTATTTGACATAGCCTTAGAAATGCTGACTATAGCAATATGACAAGAAAAAGAAGTTGAGGGACTAATTATAGCTAAAGAAGAAACAAAATTATTTATATTATATTATACATTGTAATATATTATGCATATTTTATGTAACATGTATGTGTGTATGAATACATGCTATATACGTGTATATACATGAGCTATATGTATATATCTCAGACTAGCATGCATAACTGTGCTTAATTCTTCTATATCGTTATACCTTACATCTATTCTCTCCACGCTAGCTGTAGCTTTCTTATGTTAATTAGAGCATAGATTCAGGGCTGGAAAGGAGATTAGAGGCCACCTAGCTCACCTTGTTCACTAAACTGAGGCTTAGAGTCAGAGAAAGGATTTGAACCTAGTCAAAAGACTTGGAGCCTCAGAAAGAGGCAGACATTGCCAGCTTTTGGAATCTCATCCCACTTCTCCAGCACTGGGCCCACCTTGAGTTGTTATATCCTGCCACCTGATTATAACACATCACTTGTTCCAGCAAGCTAAGAGCCTGGCCTCAGAGTGGTCTGGCACAAAAGGATAACAATGACCTTCTGCCATGATGTCAGGCTTCAAGAAAGGATCTAGAACAGTCCAACCACTTACCTGTGTCAACAGATCTCTCTCTCTCTCCAACTACTGTTACTCTGCCTGGACTTGTTCCAATAAGTGCTAATACTAGAAACTACTTCATAGCCCTTCAGGGTTATCCCTAGAACCCAATGGGAAAAGTAGTAGCCTCTTCTGGGGACCAGACCAGCCAGTTCAATGAAAGTTGGGAAATGGTCCCAGAGACTGCACCACACTTTCATTCTTCTTTTGAGAACTACCCATTCATATCCTTTAGCTCTTTATCTCTGGAGGAATATATTTGTATGCAGACATATTTATTTAAATTCCTTAAACATCTTGGTTATCATATCTTTATCAGAGAAATCTGATGCAAAGATTCCCTGGCCCATCCTCAGTTAATTTCCCTAATTCTGCTGTTAGAATTAGTGAAATTATTAACTAGAGGAAAAAATGTTTGCAGCAGATTTCTCTGATAAAGGAATGATAACATGTAAAAACTTTTTTCAATTTTATAATTGAAATCCCCCCTTTTTCTTTTATGATTATCTCTACATCCTGTTTGATTATCTCTATATCTTACAGTTGTGAAAGGTATCTCTTTCCCATCTCCTCTAATTCATTTATGGTATAACCTTCATAATTACATCATGCATCCTTTTGGAGTTTATTGTGGATCCCAAAATTCAGTCACATCCATGATCTCACTTGCATCCATACAACCATCTGAGGTCCCCTGAAAAAAATAGAGGCTCAGAGAGGTCAAGGTTACTAATGCTAAAGAGGGTATAATACTCCAGGCTAAGCTCTGGGTTAGTCTCTTCTACAATTCTGGGTGCTCTGGATATAATCCTGCCATCTAGTGATGGTCTAAGGCCCTATGAGGTGTCATCCTATTGAAAGTCTGAATTCTTTGGGGGAGTGAGTTGGGATGAGTGGTAAGTTAAGGGCTGAGAGATTTTAGCCAGACTAGAGGGATCATAGCCTACCAGTGTGGTGATTTTTTTTTGTAGGAGTGGGAGGTAGCTCCTTGTTGGAAACAAGGATGAAGCATAGTAATGTAAAAGATGTTGGGTGTACCAAGGATACATTGAGGTTGGTATGGGTCCAAAAATGAACTCATTATCTTTTCCCCAAAATCTTCCCTGCTTCCCTCTTACTGTTTTTCGTCCCTACACTTGCAACCTAGGTGTCATCCTCTACTCTTTTTTATTCTTTAGGTAATTGGGATTAAGTGACTTGCCCAGGGTCACACAGCTAGTTAGTGACAAGTGTTTGGTCTGAGGCCAGATTTGAACTCAGGTCCTCCTCACTTCAGGGCTGGTGCTGTATCCACTGCACCACTTAGCTGCCCCCACCCTCTATTCTTAACTCTATCCCATTCCCCATATCTAATCTATCTGTTGCCAAAGTCTGTCAATTTTACTTTTATAACATCTCTCAAATATGCTCCCTTCTCTTCTCTAACATTGCCACCACTCCATGCAGGCCCTCATCATTTCATGCCTGGACTACTGCAGTAGTCTGCTGGTGGGTCTGCCTGCCTCAAGTCTCCCCCAGCTCCAATCCATCCTCCACTTATCTGTCAAAGAGATCTTCCTAAAGGTCAGGTCTGACCATGTCACCTACCTCCTTGCCCTATTCAATAAACTCCAGTGGCAATCAGTATCAATTATAAAAATATATCAATTTTGATATATAAAATATAAAATAAATAAACTTCATTTCTATATTATACACAATATAACATAAGTATATTATTTTTACATATTCTACAATGCTAGATTATATTATATAATACATCCATACATTGTGTAACATATTTAACATTACATAATATAACTGTGTATCTATTATATATAATTATATTTTATGTATTATATATAAAATATATAATATATCAAATCCTCTGGGTTTCAAAGCCCTTCATAACCTGTCCTCACCCACACTCCTCAGCTCCTTGATCTTCTTGCCTTATATAGTCTGTGATCCAGTGACACTGGCCTCCTTGTTCCTGGCACAAGAAATTCCATCTCTAGACTCCATGCATTTTCACTGGATGTCTTCCACTTCTGAAATTTTCTTCCTCCTCTCTACCTCCTGGTTTCCCTGGCCTCCTTCAAGTCCCAGCTAAAATCCCACTCTCTATAAGAAAACCTTTCTCATTCCCCCTTGTCAACGCTTGGGAATCTCTGGGCCCCTACTCTGTTCTGAGGAGGAGTTTCTAACTCTCCCACCACTCCAGCCTCCCAGGTCAGTCTAAAGGCCCCCAAGAAGACTCCCACACACCTCAGCAGTTTCTAACTATCCCTGCTCCTGCTCAGGGATAATCGCTAGGACACTTCTGCAACACGACTTCCTCTTTTATGTATCCCAGCTATATTCCCTCCTGTTTCCCAAGAGTAAACCCTATGAGAATCCCTTTCTCCCCTCTCTCCCTGGACACCCCTGTCTGAATAAGGCAGAGGTTATCCTGAATTGTAATTCCTCAACCCTGAATAAATACCTGTTTATTTACTGATTACCCAGTTGGTCTGAGTTTTTGTACAGAATTTGACACTCTTAAGCTAGTCCATTCTCTGTTGATTTCAAACTTACTCTGCATATATTTTGTTTATACATAGTTGTTCGCATGTTCTCTCCTTCATTAGACTGTGAGCTCCTTGAGAGCAGGGACTGTCTTTTGCCTTTCTTTGTATCCCCAGAGCTTAGCACAGTGCATGTAGATGCATTGTAGGTGCTTAATAAATGCTTATTGAATGACTGACTGAAAAGGGAAGTGGTTGAGAAGAGGTGGAGGCAGAGAAGAATGGACAAGTGACGAAGAATGGGATGTGTGTGTGTGTGCGTGTGCACAGAGAGAGATACATATGTGTGTGTATATACACATGTGCATATATATGGATATGAGGGGGAAAGGACACAGATTGGACCAGAAGGACCCACATACAGATTGTTGTCCAGTGGTTTCAGACTCCACTTTGGGGTTTTCTTTTCCATCTTATTTTACAGATGAGGAAATGAGGCAAATAGGGTTAAGTGACTTGCCCAGGGTCACACAACTGGTAATTGTCTGAGACCGCATTTGAACTCAGGAAAATGAGTCTCCCTGATTCCAAACTCAGTGCTCTATCTCTATCCATTGGACCACCCAGCACCCCCTACTTACAGGTTAGGGCTGGGTAACCAGGTTGAGGTAGGTATCTGGAGGGGACGAGGAGGCATGGAGGATGGTTTCTTGAGCAGGAACCAGGTACAGAAAAGAAAGGATTAGGATTGGGTAGGAGTGGCGAGATGTAGCCAGAATGCAGTAGAAACCCGGGCAGTTTTTAAAGAGGAGACAGGGAAGGATGGAGGTTAGGGATTGGACGGGAAAGGCTACCGAATGGAAATGAAGCTAAGATGTATTTCTGGGGAATGATGAAGGGCAGAGATTAAGCTGTGACTGATGGGGAGTGAGCAGAGATGTTGGTGATGGGAAGGAAGAATGGAGGGGATGAGCCAAAGACTGAACGGGGAGCTAGAAGGAGCTGCTGCCAGGCAGGATGGGAATAAAAGGGGTGCGCTGGAGGGTGGAAAAGAAGATGAGACAGAGAGCAAGGCCACGGAGGATTGAAGGACAGCTTTCGTCTGGAAGGGGAGGGGAAGGCTGAAGACCGGAGATGGGCACTGGGGCGGGGACTGGGAGGTACAAGAGCTGATGGAAAGGGTTATAGCAGCGTCTCCCGCCTGGCGCAGTCACTTTGAAAAGGCATAGTGGAGTAATGGAGCTGGTGGCTAGCGGTCTGTGGGAGTACTGGCTCTTCCTCTTCCTCTCCGGGCCCCTGCTTGCTTTTGGTTTCTACTGCGCCTACGTGCACTACGTCCATCTGCGCTATGACCACATTCCTGGGCCGCCCAGGACCAGGTGAGGGCTGGGGTTGGGGGGTTGGGGAGCCCAGTGGATAGTTTGGGGCAAAGAACAGGGGTGTTGTGAGGATGAAACGACATAAGGGAGGTAAAGTATTTTGCAAATCATAAAAGTGCTATATAAGCATCATCTATTATTATTATCACCATTAGTATCATTATCCTCCTCTTCATTATTATTAATTAATCTCTGGTCTGGTGAAGACTTCTTTCTTTGACTCTTCTACTGCACTACTGAGCTCAAGCAAAGTTTATAGAGCAATGTAGAGGTATGATGTAAATGTTGAACCACCAGGCTCTTTGAGGGGAGAAAATATACACATACACACACTCTTAAATTTAATATGCATTATTAACATTTTCATGAAGTCTAGACAATCAACAAAACAATCAATCAAATTCTGATTTTCACACTCAAAATTTAACAGTCAGTGAGAGAGCCTGCTCCAGAAACACCCCTGGCCAAGAGGAAGCTGGGATGCCCTTTTGAAATACTTCCCACCCACAGAATTTCACAAAGCAGTAAATTGAAACCCAGAGAGTGGGGAAGTGTTTACAGAGGTGTGTAAATTATTTAGAGCAATAATTTTGATATAATTTAATTTTGTTTGATCTTTAAATCTAATTTTGTTATTTTTTTCAGTTAACAAACATTTCTTTTCCCTTTCCCACTACTTTCCTTGCCCAATTAAACAAATAAAAAAAAGAAAAGAAAAGGAAGCCCTCTTAACAAATATGCATAGTCAGTCAAAGAAATTTCTGTCATTAGCTATGTCCACAAATACATGGGGTATTCTGCATTTTGAGTCCATCATCATTGCTCTGTCAGGAGGTCCCTGATCATATGAAGCTTCATCTTGGGTCATCTGAATTTTTTTTTTGTCATTGCATTGATCAGAGTCCTAAAGCATTTCAAAGTTGTTTTTCTTTATAGTGTTACTACAGAAATTGTTCTGGTTTTGATCACTTTGCTCTCTACCAGTTTACAAAGGTCTTCCCAGTCTTCTCTGAAACTGTCCATTTCATCATTTCTTGGCACAGTAGTATTCACATACCATAATAGTCTAATCATTCCCTAATAGATGAGTACCCCCTTAATTTCCATCTTTTTCTAACATGAAAAGAGCTGCTATAAATATTTTTGTGTATGTAGGTGCTTTTTTCTTTCCTTGATCTCTTTGGGGCATGAGCCTAGTAGTGGTAGGCTGAAGGGTATGCAGTCTAGTGACTTTTGGGGCATAGGTTCAAATTGTTTTCCAGAATGATTGGATCAATTCATAGTTCCACCAAGCAGTGTATTGTGTCCATTTTCTTTTTGCTGCTCTAAATGTACCATTTTCCTCTTTTGTCATCTTTGTCATCTTCTGTCTTTAAAAGGTAAGACCTCAAAGTTGCTTTAATTTGCATTTTTCTAATTCTTAATGTTTTGTAGCATTTTCATGTGATTATTGATAGCTTGGATTTCTTCCTTTGAAAACTACCTGTTCATATATTTGGTCACTTTTCTATTGGGGAATGGCTCTTGTTCTCATACATTTGAATCAGTTCTGTAGGTATCTTAGGTATGTTTTAATTTTGTGAGACAGACTATAGAAATATGAATTGTCATTATTGTATTTAATTCTTTGACACAATTTTATAGATACATCACCCTATTATGTCAAATGGAGTCCACAGTTTATACTTAGCTGCACTTGTTTGTATGTTGTTCACTGAATAAATTAAATGAATATTTTCCTGAATATATTAAAACATCAGACCCATTTTATTTGAACACGCTACATATGACTTTTAGTTTATTGGTGGAATTAAGCTATCAAATACCACCTACCCATGAAGGTTGTGGATAAAAAATTACTATAAAGGGCAAATAAATGGATATTTTCTCTGTATCTCTGACTCCAATTTCTAGTCAACTCTGATTTTTTTTTCAGTTTCTTATTTGGACACCTATCTTACCTCAAGAGACAGACAAAGGACAGTGGTAAAATTAGACAGGATGTATTTTTGGAATGGTGAGTTCTAATTAGGCTGGTGGGGGTGGTGATAGTGGTGGTGGTGGGGGTGGGGGTGGGGGTGGTGTGTGTGTGTGTGTGTATAAATAATACTATTTCATTTAAATATTTCCACATAAGCCCTCTTTGGACAGCTTTTGTTGGTGCAGAGATGACCCTGGGTTCTCTAAGGCCATGACAATGGAGAGAAAAAGTTCTGACTGGCTCAGGGAAGGTCTTTACATGAGGGCCTGACAATAGTCTCTGCCTTCTGTCCAAGTCAACTTATGGAGATCATGACCAGCAGGTTGGCCACAAGATGATGTATTTGAGGGTCAAAGAAGACCCACAAAATGTAAAAATGCAAAACAGCTTCTGTAGTTATTGATGTCATTTATTGATGGTCTTATCAAGGGTAGTGAGAGAGAATACTAAGACCCTAATGGTTCTTAGACTATGTATAAACATTAATTTAACTGTTAATATTCTTAATGTGACTTCTTTATCTAATGATCTATTAGAAGTAATTGAATTCATCTGTATTAACATTCCCATTCTAAATGAAACCAGAAAACAAACATTGCTGGACTCACCTGCCTCTGGTGTCTGTCTTCACCCCAGGGCTTTCTCCAGTGCTCTGGAGGCCTTTGTCTGATCAGACCCACCTCAAATATCTAGCTCTTGTCTCCTGTCTATATTCTCCAGGCTGTACCTTTGCTTGCATCTGCCTGCTGTGACGCCTTTTGGGCACCTGCTTTGATGTTGGACTTTGAGGGAACTCCTTGAATAACCTTAATCATCTGCCTCACTCAGCAAACCTCTTTCTAGCCATTAATGCCTAAACTCTTTTTCTTCAATGGTTAAAATACTGCCACTCCCATCAGACTCCTCCCTTCCCAATGATTCTGAACCCCTGGCTGTCGTTGTATGAACAGCAATCCATCCTCATCTTGTACTGCTTGTTTCTGTATTCTGTATTCTTATTTCCCTTAATTCCCCTTCTAACCTCCAAATGAGTTGACTCCAAATCTACCTGACCCTTCTACTGTGCTCTTGGGAGTACCTGCTTCATAGGGAACAAACTTTTCATCTTTTTTAAAAAAAAAATTATTTTAGACTCAAACACCAGAACTCAAATACAGATCAGAGAAAAGAAAAAGAAACATAGAATAAACTTAAATATTGAAACTTAAGTACAAAAGAAGAAAAGAAAAAAAGCATGTCATATGCACAGCAGAACACAGGAGAGGATTCAAAATATGTAACAATAAATTTTCATTTCAAGAAAGCCTGTATGATAAATACTACACGTTGTGTTGAGAGCTGTCCACCTTTTCTTTGCTTCCTTTTAAGCTTTCTTTTGTTCTCTGCTATGCACTTTTTACTTTGTTCTCCTTCTCTTTCGTGCTCCCAGAAGGCTATAAATAAGTGCAGACATATTTATATCGAGATATAGTTATATACATGCACATATACATATATACACCTACATAAATATATATACCCATACACACATACATATATAGACATATACTTTCCCTAACAAATTCTACACCTGATCTTTGTTTTTATATTTGTGCATATCTCTTATTTCCTATCCCTCTTGACTCCTCTTGTTTACTTCTACCTGCTACCTTGCCCTTTTACTTGGCCTACCCCCCCTCCAAGGATCCCTCCCCTATCCTCCCATTCCCATAGATCCAAACACCCTTCTATACCCCCTTTAACCTATTCCTTCATCCTCCCCTCTAGAGATCCCTCCCTTATCCTCTCCCTTCTCCCTATCCCTTTACCATTTTATTTCTTCTGAATTTAGAATATTTTTATATTCATATATATATATATATATATATATATATATATATAATGCGTATATAGAGTTCCCTCTTGAACCCATCCTGATGAGAGTAGGGTTCCAGAACTATAAGCCCTCCTCCCCCATCTAATTTCTCTATGTCGCTTCTTCCTCTCATATCTCATTTGTATAAGGTAATTACTCTTTTTAACTCTTCCTAGATAGTTTTACTTTTTAAAGTCATATCATACTCGGGTCTACCTCACTCTTTCTTATAAACTACCCAATCGCTAATGACAGTCTTAGACATAAATTTTATATACGTAAAAGGTAAATGGTCTGTCCTTATTGAATCCCTTATAATCAGTCTTTGGTATGTACCTTATGTTTCTCTTGGATCTTGTATGTCAAATCTTCTCTTAAGTTCCATTTTTTTTTAAACAAAGTCTTGAAAGTCTGACAGTTGATCATGTGTCCATTTTTTTATTCAGGTATATGCTTAACTTTGCTGGATGTGATATTTTCAGTTAGAACTGCAGTTATTTTTGCCCTTTGATATATGGTGTTCCAAGACCTGTTATTCTTTTTTTTTAATTTTAATTTTTCAACATTTACTTCCACAAGATTTTGAGTTCCAAATTTCACCCCATCTCACCTCTCCTCCACCCCAAGATGGCATGCATTCTAAATATCCCTTCCCCTAGTCTGTCCACCCTTCTATCTTCCCCCCCCTGCTTCTCTTATCCCTTCCCCTTCTATTTTCCTGTAGGGCAGGATAGATTTCTGTACCCTATTTCCTGCATTTCTTATTTCCCAGTTGCATGTGAAAACATTTTTTTTAAACATGTGTTTTTAAAACTTTGGGTTCCAAATTTTCTCCCTTCCTCCCACCCCACCCACCCTCATTGAAAAGGCAAGCAACTCAATATAGGTTATACATGTGCAGTTATGCAAAACACTTCCATAGCAGTCATGTTGTGAAAAACTAAGTATATTCCCCTTCATCCTATCCCATCCCCTGTTTATTCTATTCTCTCTTTTGACCCTGTCCCTCCTCAGAAGTGTTTGCTTCTGATTACCCCCTTTCCCAATCTGACCTCCTCTTTATCATTCCCTTGCTCTCTTGTCCCTTTCTCCCCCTATTTTCCTGTAGGATAAGACATATTTCCAAACCCAGTTGAGTGTGTATGTTATTCCCTCCTTAAGCCAAATCCTACGAGAATAAGATTCACTCATTCCCTCTCACCTTCCCCTGTTTCCCCTCCACTGTAAGAGCCTTTTCTTTTCTGTTTTTTTTTGTGAGATAATTTACCCTATTCTACCTTTCCCTTTCTCCTTCTCCCAGTATAATCCTCTCTTACCCCTTAATTTTATTCTCCATATATGACACCTTTATCTTTAACTCACCCTGTGCCCTCTATCTATCTATATCTATATCTGTATCTATACATACATATAATTTTTTCCCTCCAGCTACCCTAATACTGACAAAGGTCTCATGAGTTACAAATATCATCTTTCCATGCAGGAATGTAAACAGTTCAACCTTAATAAGTCTCTTATGATTTCTCTTTCCTGTTTACCTCTTTATGTTCCACTTGAGTCTTGTATTTGAAAGTCAAAATTTCTATTCAGCTTTGGTCTTTTCCTCAAGAATGCTTGAAAGTCCTCTATTTCATTGAATGACCATTTTCCCCCCTGAAGGATTATACTCAGTTTTGCTGGGTAAGTGATTCTTGGTTGTAATCCCTATCTCCTTTGCTCTCCGGAATATTATATTCCATGCCCTGTGGTCCCTTAATGTAGAAACAGCTAAATCTTGTGTTATCCTGATTGTGTTTCCACAATACTTGAATTGTTTCTTTCTGGCTGCTTGCAATATTTTCTCCTC